AGGTAGGTAGGTAGGTAGTAGTAGAGTAGAGAGAGAGAGAGAGAGAGAGAGAGAGAGTGGAGAGACTCCGCGCGCGGGGACTGCCCACAGCTGTTCCTATAAATAACAACCCCCGATTTGATGCAACCACGCGAATGCTCGCTGCGGCAATTCTGCATCTTCTCTCGCGAAAGCGCGGCAACTATGGTTATTGACCCTCGTGCAACGCGCGCGCGGGCCTGGCACTATTTCCGTTCGTGAAATAATGGGCCGAGCATCGTAACGTGTGATTTAAACGCGCGCAGGATAGACCGAGGAATCCTCGCGGACCGACGCGCCGACTGCGTAATCCTATCTCGTTGCAAACATCATTACGAATGTTATCTTTTTATTTCTGATTGTGTTTTGCACGATTAACACATCAACTTTATTCGATAAATTTCATTATCTTCTAAAATGAGAAAGATAAAATATAGAATTGTGTGTGCCGATAATTTCGTAAATAATTATAAATTGATACGAGTATATTTCTCTGCGCTAAATCGGAAATAAACTTTTGACATTCGTAAAATCGAACGACAAAGCTTGAAATTACGCAATTCCCCTGTAACATCGTGCGGTAAATGAAAATTATGCGAAAACGCGTAAAATAAGAGCAACGTGTGTTCGCATTAAAACGATGCATTTACGATTGAAGATTTGATTATTGCGCATGGCGCATAATTACGTTCTGCCTGGCGCACGGCTTTATTCGCGGTGAGCGAAATGCAATAAAATGTATTATACAATGAAGCCGGGGATTTATCCGTGGATTACATTATCCATCACGGTCGAAAGATTAAATCTCCATAAATTATTCGTTGTACCGACGATGTTCATTAGCGACACGGTTCGAATAACCGCGAAGTACTTACAAGAGTAATCTGCGGTATAAGCGTTACTGCGCGCAATCTACCTAGTTCTCGACGTGTTTTCAACATTGAAATCATATTATCGCCACGGTTTCTGCGAAAATTTTTTGGTCGCAATTATCAAACCGCAGCGCGATAATGAAGGAAGTGCCAAATCTTTTCATATTCGCCGCCCAACGTCTGGTAAAATTGCAATCGGGATATTTGCTTCACGTTTTGCTTCACTTAGAAATGTATTCGGTTTGTCACTTGAGCAAATTCATCGATCGCACGACAGCAATCTTTTCCACAAATCGCAACAACGTGTGCTGAAATAATACTTTTTTTTTTATCAACAAAGACTCAAGAAACTCCGCGCGTAGCTTTGGCAGGGTCAGCTTTTACAGATTTTCTACTTGATTTAGAGAGTGGCAAGCTCTCTCTCTCTCTCTCTTTGTGCCGTAAACAGAAAGAGAAAGAGCAATCGATGATGTCACGCACTTGCGGTTGATAGTCGCAATCTCTCCGCGAGGTGCGTCGACACGATCGACATCCGAGATTCGGGCTTCGTCGCGCCCGGGACGCGCTGCATCGCGTTTTATAGCGCGTTTTACTGCGTGCGTTGCGGCTGACCAGCGGTCTCTCTCTCTCTCTCTCTTCCTCTCCCTTTCCCTACCCTGTGTCCCCACGGCACACATTGCCGATCCTCCTCGCTCCTTCCGTCGCCTCTCTTTTCTCCGTAAAGGAGGCACGACCAGCGGGGCAGGGTCATGGCCGGACATCGTCTGCCGTACGCTCTTTTTCTCTCTCTCTCTCTCTCTCTCTTCTTCGTTCGATGCTCTACACCCACACTACATCTGTTCTACCCGCGTCCGTTCCTCGTTCTTTTCGCTGCATTCTCGTAAAGTTGAATTTTACTGTGCGCCGAATATGAGCCATCGGGATCTCGCGAGAGATCGAATAGATTTGTAAGCGACTTTTCTAAACGAATATTGCAAACTGCAGGAACGTTACGGTGCGATTTACGGCGCGTATTGCAGCGTCATATTTAGTGGCCATCTAACTGCAGCACGCATTTCTCGATCGAAACTGTCAATATTGTTAGAAAGAAGAAACAGATTTATACCGGCGGATTTAAATATTCGCGATGGACATTTCATAAAAATTTCATTTCGTGAATTTCACTCGATGTAAACAATTTCGGTGAAATTAAATTGCAGAATTTATTGCGGGCTTTATACTTAATGGATAAAATGTAAAAACTTTGTGAAACTTCAGTCGTGTATTTTATAGTACGCGAACATTCGAAATGTCAAAGTAATGAAAATATGATTGTAAAAATAAAACTGTTGTCTCGCCAACATGAAAAAAAAAAATACTTACAGGATTCTATTAAAGCTGAAAATGTTCCAGACTTATTCAGGACTTTTGTCAATTACCGCTGAATGACGTAAAGGACATGTACCGAGGCAACTAACAAAGTTGAAAATCAAGGTCTGAGACTTGGAATGGACCGAGCAAAATCATTCAACGATGATTCAGAGAACAATGACCTCAATTAATGACGCAAAATTTGTCAATATGATGCAACATCGAGGAAAGTTTCAGTTTTTAATATTCTTTAATTTTTCGGAAATTAAACACGTAAAAAAGAGAATAGACCGCGCTCTCGGCAATTATAACTGTAAATATAACTATAAAAAATATCTGTCCGAGAAAGATTTTAAGTTTACTTTATGACGAAAAACGTGTTATTTTAAAAATAAATGACAAATCACTTTTGATGCTAATTTTACAGTGAGAGTGCAGTTTGATACCTTTGCAAACGCATACGTTGACAAATACTTTTTCGGAACAGTTTACACACATTATTCGCGACGCGTATGAAATTAATCACTCTGGGCGTAGAAATTAAAACGTCACACGTGGGTCCCTCGCGTATTTCTTGCGCTCCGCTCCGAACTGTTCCCCGCCGCAACCACGTGTTGCACCCCGGAATTCTGGCCGAGATGCTATCGCTGTCTCGCTGCGTTTATCTCGCTCGTTAGAGTAGCTTTAGTAATCTAGTAGCTTCAGCGATCGGTAATTTTAATTTATGCAGCAATAGCTTTAGCAAAGCTAGTAAGCGTTAGTTACTTACGCGAATTTGTTATATTCAATGAATAAATCAAGGGATTTTGACACTTTTAGCAATTTACATATTTATTGAACAATCATAATTGTGATATTCTTACAAGAAAAAGTGACAACTTCTTACATATATGTTCGCATATTATTTTACGACTTACAAAACGTACAATTTTCATAAGGGGGGAAAACAACGCATGTAGCACTTTATTTTCAACAATTGTATCGCGAAATCGATAGCTGATGTCAAGCGACTCGACGTGTAATCCCTAATTTCATAATAATCTTTTTCGGTAAATATCGGTAAATAGCAAATCCTTTTTAACGATTTCTCAATCATCACACTTCTTTTCGTCTATAACAGCGATAAACCTCACTCTATATCTATGTACTCTTCGCAACGAGACATCAAAATTATTAAACTATATTTTTTTTCACGCATTTTCAATTTTTCAGCATTTTTTCTCAACTTTTTCGATCAAAACTACGGTCTAAATTTATAGTCTTTATGTTTTTATGTAATTATCTTTCTGTATCAAGTACAACCGTCAAACAACTATTTATAACCCTTTCGCTGCTAACCTCGAAGTCAAGCTGTGCCGCTCGGCCGCAGTTTCACGCACGTGACAGGTCGATCTGTCAGTAACTTTCGATATTTTCCTCAAGCACGGTCTGATAGGTCGCTCATATCAAAAAATAAGAGAATTCGGTCCACACGTAAGAATCGAATCTCTCCCCGATGAACAAGAACGCAAATCTTAATAATTCGTGCAACTCACGATTTCGCGACGGATGGTGGGCGTTCCTGCTCCGGAGGGCATTGTGCAGCTGTACGTACACCTGAAGCATCAACTGCTCGTCCGGAGTCCTCTCTTCGCCATTGTTGGGCAGACAGAACGGTATCGCCATGGTCGGTCCTTTCCCTCGATCGAAGGAACTGCGTCGAAAAAAAACTCCGCTCGTGTCTCTCTCGCTTAGTCCGGTTCGACGCACTGCAACCGAACCAAGCAAAGGTCCGTTGATCTCCCACTGTACTCTTCACACGCCTCTCGCCCACCCGAAATTGTTTTAATCCGGAAAACGGATCTCCCTATCTGATCTCGCACCGAGAGGTGCCACGCGGCGATTCTCAAATCCCTTCGGACGCCACACGTGACTGTTCAGTTCATCGGCGCACACTCTCAACGTTCATCCTCGCGGATCGCACGTGGTGCGCGCACGTAACAGCTTTCGCCTGTGTGTGATCGGAGATGCTAAGCTAAGTTTCGTCTAACACGCGGCCGACTCGCCAGGATTCCGTCTCGGGACGTTTCGAGAAAACTGTCTTGTGCAACCGACACTCTTCAGAGTGAATCACTTCCGACGACGTGATTGGCACTGTTGGAAATCGCGAGAGATGCGAACTGTCCCCTCTCGCGACTACCGACTGACTCTGCTCGAACACTGAACTTCCACGTAGAATTCGTAAAAGCGTGAGTCCTTCGAGAAAAAGAGCGACGCGCTTTTTCGAAACACGAGCGATCTCCGCGTTCAATGTTCTCGCGGTTGACTGCACCAGGTTGGTTCACGTCACTCGCAGAAGTGTAACACAGATGAGGATCGACCTGATGGTGGCGTCAGGTCGTCCCTACGACGCAACGGAGCACAAGACTGTCGCGCGGGACTATCACGTGTGCGAGATTATCGCAGCACGATGAGATCGGAATTAATTCTCGTCACGGAACTGTTCTTCTTTGGCGCGATATATCACACGCGTGGTAAGAGGCCGGCGCGCAGAGAAGAAAAACCGAGAGAGAAGAAAGTAGGGAAAGCAGAGCGACACGAGATCTCGACTGAGCTCAGGATAACGAGAAACACGTCTGTTCTCCTCGAGGTCTGGCGTGGTAATGATTCTGTGCTTTCGCAGCCACTCGGTCCGCACGTTCTGCCTCGCGGTGGCACAACCGGCTTCTTCCCTCACTTCGCCCTACTTCGTCGGACAGTGGGGGCACGTGCGCGCGCAACTCGTGGCGAGAAATAAACCGGTGGTGAGGGTAGTCGATTTACTTTGGGGTGGGGAACACGCGAGGAGCGTGACAATACATTGTCTGCTGCTTGGACGCCGTGCGAGTGAGCTCCGTTTGAACGCTAACATTTACTGCAATCTCGTGTGTTTGCAGTCACCAGATACACGATGTTTCAGTATTCAGCATGCAGAATGCTTTAAAATATTAAAATGACGACTACGATTTGCGCGTTTAATGCAAATATGCTGCAGAAAGAGACGAATGCGACTAATTGTCGTGACTTGCGATAAAGCAGAAAAATTAAATTAGTAATATAATATAATTACTGTATTTTTTTGTTATTGTCATTTTTTTATGGTAAATTTCATAACAGAATATCGCGTACATATTTTTAGAATTTTTACATTCTCAAATAGTCGCCTTCCACGTTAATTTTGCCACGATATTTTATTTAATGGATATTGATATCAGAGCGAACTCGTTTCCACACTCGGAAGACGCAAGTGCATTTCTGTGGCGCGCGCGCGACATGGTCTTGGATATAGCGGAGCGTGTAGCACGTAGCAATGGGATCTCGTCGAGGGAGAGAGTGAGAGGCTACGCACACGAACAAACCGGCGGCCGTATGCACTTCGGAGCCGTAAAGGCGCGTATGACACGACAAAACGACACTCGAGCGCAACTGCGCAGTTTACGCGACCAAGAGAGTACGAACTCCGGAATACGGGGGTAGCTGCTGTCGCAAATCGGAAACGTTTATGTTATCTAAAATTAAACCTCTGGCAAAAAATCCAATTAAAAGTGCAAGATATATTTGATTTTTAGTTTTAATTTCAGTATTGAGATTCTATTTTTCTTTTAATTAGCGCTTTTCAATAAAATATTAAATAATATTCTAGCAAACGGATAACTTTAATTTGTCCAGAGATAAAAAATATTATAAGCAGAATAATGTTGATAATAACAATAAATATGATATTATCGCACCAATCTCACTGGTACTGTCAGGCCCATCTCGTTTATATACACCGATGACAATAATAGAAGCTCGACTGATAACGCGTCGGTCTGCAGTGTCGAAGATTAGCTTTAATTGCCGGAATGACTACATGCGAGTTAATGAGCTCGGACATGCCTATAATTAATTAGAAACGCACACGAGCGAAACGCACACGAGCGGGACTCGCGTTTAACTTCTCGATAATTTGTGACGCGAATGATATTCATGACAATGTTACGCGCTCGGTTAAGCTGTTTTTATTTTTATTTTTTTTTTTTTTTTCGTAGCCAATGAATGGATGAACAGAGAAACAAGAACACAATATACTCCTATTGCGCGCGCTGATTCACAATGCATACGGCGGCGCGCCGGCCGCCTAGTCGCTACAGCACGGCCACATAAATAAATATGAGCATATTAGTTTGCGCGGACATGTACGACACGCGTGAAAAACGGAATCCCGTATTCAGCGTGATCAAAGAAAAAGTCGGCATTACCATTAATGTTATTCTCTTTATCGCGCATGGAATTCGCGTAATGTCGAGTTTTACAAGCTGCACGCACTTTGCGATGAAATGCAGTCACATTACGGGAGCGTTTAATCCATTCAAGATTCAAATATCGTGTGCTTCGAAAATCTCTCTCGTTTTACACTCAGAACTCTAATTTTAGAACTTAGAGAACGGAGACGCGGATCTCGCTCGAACAGGATTGGCGTACAATCCGACGGAAAAATCGAGCGCGCTTTGCCTCTTACGAATTTCAGTGAGTCGCAACGTAGGCACAATGATGCTGCACGCGTGTTAAACAGCCTCAAAAGCGCGAACGTACGTGCCACTTGAATCGATGAGCGATCGACGTCTGTACGGTGCGCGCGAGAAGAGAGACAGAGGGAGAGAGAGAGAGAGAGAGAGAGAACAGATTAATGTCAGGAGTGGTGCGCAGGGAGAGACATTGTCACTGGATATCAGATGTGGGAGTTAAAGGCCAGGTGAATCTCGGCGCATCGAGGGGATGACGTTACAGAGAGATGACATTACCACTATAGACCGTGGAAACCGGAGTCGAGATGTGTGCTGAGATGCTGGTCCGCTCGACGTCGGAATGGCACGTCGATATCGGCGGATCGATGCTTATATCGGCCGCGACGCGATACCGTGAGTCAAGTGCTACCGTGATAATTCCGCGACGCTGATAATGTCGCGTGCGCATGAATTTTAGTGAATTTTCCGGGCGTATAAAGGTGTGCTTTGAACCCAATCTGATTCCCCAGCGGATCGATACGGCGAGTGCACTTGGCAAACTTACCGCGCGCGTCTCGCAGGAACTATTTATTGCGAGAGGCGCCACTTCTACGAAACTAATTGTCTCAATGTACGTGAAAGTTAAAGAGGCGAGTTCAGCGAGAGATGAGTTGATTGTGCCTTATACGAGAAGTCGATTCGCTTAACGAAGTTAAACTTAGTTGCGAGAACTTCGGAGGGAATTTTGATACTTATAACTTTTACGCGGGATAACGAGCTTTATTCGAGCTACCGGGAGATGAGAAAAGCTTCGGAATTACAAAATGTTACACAATATGTGTAATATGAAGCAATTAAGTGTTTTCGTAGATAAGATTGACCTAACTAAAAAGTAACTTACTCTTCTGCCGCGATTAGATAAGCCGCCAAATGTATTTTATTCGAAAAATCATTCGAAAGGCAAATAAAAATGCTATCTGTTATATTAAACAAGCGTGAAATATAGAAAACAATCCTGAAACTTAAGATTATCAAATCAATACGTTGATCGCGCGTCCTGAAGAGTCGTTTGTTGATTCTTAAATGCGTTGCAAAACAAGACGCGTCTCATCAAGCTTCCTATTGATTTTTATTTAATTAGTCTGAATCATATATTTTCGAATAACTGATTTTCATGAAGTATCTAATATGATCACACATTATAACAGTCAAATATCTTATCAAGCTTTTTTAGATTCGACATCTTCCTTACTTTTAATACAACACTGGACACTTTTCCTCGTCAATCAATTTTATTTATGGAAATCCCATCGCTCGTAAAATTCTAAAATCTCGTCCGATGCGAACGCGATTTTTATAACGATCCTATAAATAAATGCTTGGTCGCTCGACGTTGCAATTTTCCATCGTCGTGGAGAAATCGTAAATCGTATCTCGCTAAATCTGTTAGTCGTGAATGCAAATGTTGGTTTAATAACCGCTCTCGCGGTCTTCGAACCGGCAATCGGGGTTCGTGTCGCAGACATTTCTCGCTGCGCGATGATCATCATGACGATCCTCGAGTTTAGCTGGCTGGAAACGTCTAATGAGCAACCCCTCCCTATCCTCCGCAACCCTGCGTCGTGTCGTTTTATTCCGGTGGAAAGTATCGGTGCTGCACACACAACACGCAGCGCTGGTTACCGCTCGGTAGCAGCTGAGATTTAAAACCGGTAGCACCGTACGCGCGGATCAGGCTGTATATTTTTAGAACGACCACCGCGGTCGCGTGGGCGAATGCTGGTCATCGGCTCGGGAACCTGTGCTACTTTGTTTCGGGCGCGCGCGGTCGATCACGACGGACGATCGGCGTCCACGGCTCTCCGCAGGCCAATTTGGCAGCGTAAAGTATGCTCCCGAAGAAGAATAAATTGCAGCGAAATTCGATACAAAATCTCATTTTAAAACAGATTTATCGTGTGATGATAATTTAAAACGCGCGTTTGATTCGTGTCGTATTTATAATTAAACCAAGTATACTGTATCTTAATTTATCTGACGAAATGGAAGTTGACTTCCGCAGAATTTTAATGATATGTTTACGCGTATCAGTAAAATAATCATCAATCGTGATGGCTGAAAGCTACTGGTTTAAAGATCGCGATATGAACGTTGACTTTCAGACATCTAAGTCTATCAAGTAATTAAATTTAATATCAAAAGATGCTATTTTTTAAAATTAAATTAAATTTAATACTTTAATTTAATCTTTATTTTAATATTGAAAGTCGCATCTTTTGATTATCTGATATTTCTAATCGTTACTTAATGTCCGCATTACGCGAAGACTGAGTGATGTAATCAAAATTTATTTTGCATACGGAGACTATACATATTTACGATTGCGTCATACGCGTAAACGATGCTTAACTTTTCAATCGAATCCAGTAAGATAACACTGACAGAATGATTCATAGACGCAGGTGACCGACATGTACTCGTTCGATGTGTGCGTAGGCATCCCGAGGAAGAAGGTTTAAAGTTTAAGGTCTACCGCGAAGCGCCTTAATTATCGGGGCAATTATCGCGGCGGGAAAGAGCGTTATCGCTCGCCGCGCCGCGCGACACGCGTCCACCGTGAACAAGTTCGAACAAGTTTCGTGTCCCTCGCAGCATTGCGAGCACACTGTTGCCATCGTTTACGAGGTTAACGGCAAGAGCAACGTTATTAAACGACCCTTGTAATGGGTAACCGGCAAGAACCGAGCTACTCACTGCTGTTACGTACGCGAGAAAAATTACTGTTTTATTATTACCATTATTTCACGTGGTATATATTTTAATCACGGTAACGCATAATCTCACACTTCATAAATGACGCATTAAAATGATTTATACTCTCCGTTTCGCGTTTTTCCCGAAATAAAACTCTGTGAAAAGTAGCGCGACGAAAGACACCCGGTATGACACTCACATCCGAAGGATGACTCAACTTATCAGGTTGATGTTACGAATTGCATTTCTTATCATTTTTATCGGGTTATTGGTGCGTTCACCCTTCTCGCAGTTCATCGAACCAGATTTCGCGCGCTCGTTTTCTGCAAATATTAGATGTTCCAACGTCGAATATATGAATACGCTATTTTGTGGACACGGTACAACATTCTATTCTATCTACGTGGCGATAAAACAAAAAAAAATAAAAAGCTGGAAACAATAGAGCCGGAAAATGATAAACATATATTTCTTTCGTAATCGTTAGCGCGCACATCCGTTTGCGTCTCAAATATAATTTGTGATTACATTCGAATAAATGCAAGATTAGTTTATTGAATAATAATAATAATTGAAAACAAAAAACACAAATAAATTTCCTATAGAAAGAGATAAAGAAATACATAAGATTTGATGTCTTTCAGCCAAGTGCGTTTATATTGTATCGTGCAAGCATGTTTTTCGTTATCGCTGATAACCGTTCGACAGAGAGGAAGATAGATAGAAAAAATAAGGACTGCGATAAAACGACGTGCAAGCAAACATCTCAAAATATACGCAGTGTCGATGCCTACAGAACTTTCGCTGCAAGTGACGAAAATATATATGTACGCATGTACGGATTCATATACGCTGCGCGGCTGCACAAGTGTACGCGACTAATATCCGCAATTTTGTAATTTTAAAACATCGCCTACGTGCGCGCTAAGTGACGTAGTGAAAGAACTTCGTTCCGAGAATGTTCCGTAACGTTGGTCACGAAACCTTTGCGAGACATATTGACGCACGTATTACGATGATTTCCACGATGAGTGAATCCCAGTGTCAAGGGGGAGGGAGAGGAGCCGCGGCGAATTAGTTAGTTTCTCGAAGTGATCCGAAGTGCGGAAGATTACGCGAAATTGCTCCATTCGCCGCGCTTCATGCGTAATTATCGTGTCATTTTTACAATCCCCAGACGGTGCAAATTGACGTTTCTACCTTATAAGGAAAGTGAAAACACACGTGTTACGGCTTCACCGTCGAAATTGATCGCATCAGCTGTCAAAATTAATTTTTGCCGAACGTCTAAGAAACATGGAAAGCGGGATAATTTGTTAAAGACAAATCGCGTAAAAATTTTGTTTTGTTACGAAGAAATCTCTCTATTATGTACATCAGGGAACGATATGACGATAGCCGGACACAAATGATAGATGGTCGTTAAGGCCGGAAATGGAGACTTCGCGAGGGTGTTTGCGGATGTGGTAACGAAATCGTCACTCTTTAGCCGCAAGGTTTCTTGCCTGCCGCGTTCTTGCGGTTTTTTGAAGAACCGGCCGGAGCCGTGAACCGTCACAATAAATATCGAACGTAGTTATGATCGCGGAAAAAAGTTTCTGCGCAAAATCAGTTTTTATCGCGATTCGATCGCCCGGCGGCGTTTTTATGCGCGCGACGGGACGAGTTTAATAAACGTTTCGGGACAATCACGGTTTTTCAGCTGATACTGATACCGTTTCAATTTTACGCACGACAGCGGGGCTTGATTTACAGCGCGCCTTACAACCTGTTATTGACAAACGCCCGTGATACTAAATGTTACACCGGCGTGACAGCGGAGAAACGTCTAATGTTTAATGCGAACTGCTAAATATTTGCCGGAGTAATCGGGCGGACAAAAAGGATCGCGCAAACAAACGAACGGACAATAATTGACTAAGTACTCGCAGGTGCACGGATACGCATTTCCAGCTGTGAGGGCATAATATGCAAGTACATGCGTGCACTTGAGGATAAGTATTTGCCACCGGCTATCATCAAGATCCAATAGAGACGAGTGCGGTTTAGCCGTGACAAGACCGTATCATCAGCGACTAATTTTGAGATAACACACGTATTAACGGCGATCTTCCCTTCACATTACCGATACATATTATAGTACAATATCACTAATACATTCACATCGCGTTACTAATATAAGGATTATTTCTGTCATATAAAATGCTCGCTATACTGTTATGTGACGCTTTTTCAAGGAAACATACGCGACAATTCGATAACAGAGTCTTATTTGTAACGTAAAATGTTTTTTTGTGGAAGTCGCTCGAAAGGTCGTTCTAAAGCGTTCGCAACGTAGAACGTTCTGACTTTACCTGCTTTTTTCCTCTAACACAGTGACCGCGATAAAGTAGCTTCACCTTGACCGCGAAGAAGTGCGATTGAGGATATATCCTGGAAAGAAAACAGAACACGTATAACTAGGTCGTTTATATATTCAGAATATCGAGGTATCATCGTTTATAATATAATAATAATGCAAAGAATTTTAGCCAAATGAGATCATTTTTTTGTCTAAAATTTCTTGTGGACTATCGAAAATTCTTTCCGTTAATTATTCTCTCATATAAGATAATCGCAGCGCTGAAATAATATTTTATAATTAGTCTTGTTCGCGACTACGGCTTGATAAAATGATGCAATTCGTCGAAATAACCTTGAATGTGACGCGTTATCTCGCGCGGTCTAGCTTGCGGTTTTTATACGTGTATTAACTTTCATATATATTTTGTATTTTATATGTATTTTATATATATTATTTGTATATATTATTTTCTATATTATATGCATTTTACACATGTTTATATTGTTCCGTTGTTACAATTCTATTTGTTCTGAGAAAATCAAAACAAATAACATTTTTATCTTTTTAATTTCATTGCCTTTCCTCCTTCGTATTCTTTATTTTCTGTATTGTTTTCTCTCACGTACTCACGCGTCACTCACTCTCGATCTCTCGCGCTTTGTACATACAGACGCTTTAACATATCTCCGATTAAAACGAAAACGCGTTCCCACCTCTGTTCCTATCAATTTCCGAAGAGAAATCTGAGATTAAATTCTGATCTGAGATTAAGTCACTCACCGCTATGATTAGCCAATGTTACATAAGTACGATCGAAGATCTTTCAGTTGTCACTGGGCTCGAGTTTTCGATGAGCAACAGATAGCACAGATCAGATCAAAATGGATACACTTGAGAGCCAATTGGAAAATTGAGCGTGCGATGCGTTGGTCTTTCATCTAAATAGGACATATCGGTGGCGAGGGTGAAAAGAGGACAATGCAAAAGACGCACTTCTGCGCCTTGTCTTCCACCAATGACTGCTCGTCGTTTGCTTTCTGGTGGGCAGATCAGACCAGTGCTGGGCTACCTGTTCACAGTTTCTTCCTTCCATTGGTAGATACCAGGGCAATGAGTCACATCACACCGATAACCTCCATAGAGCATTTCTTTCGTGCAGCGGAGGGGCGTGCGCGCGATTCTTTCCTCTGCGTTCTTCCGAACCCGACGTATCAAGGTGGGAGAAAAAAATCACATATAGTAGGGAGATCGGAAAGATGACACGGCCATAAAAAAATTTCCATCGCGTCACTTGAGCCTGTTAGTCAAATACAGAGTTCAAATTTTATTTAATTGAGTCACGTATTTTTAATCAGCTGCAATACGGTGTTAGCCACTAGTTTTGTGGCTAATTTCCGATAATAAGAGTCTGCGAATGAACAGAATCGGCGATATCTTATCATTATCACATCTTATCGCCGATTCACTATGTTAAGTACATCACACATTTAAAATAATATCGTGATACAAGAAGTGCAGTATAAAATATATTCGTCAATATTATATTTTTAAATACGAAACGTACCAAATAATTTTCACATTACGTCATAGTTCTCGATCTTCTCGAATCACAGGAAAAGTAACCGTTAAATGCAGATGGTAACTGTATATTGTTTATATACAAACATTATCTCTCTGATCATTGACTCATCGGAGGCGAAAGGTACATCGACTTCGGCGAAATATCAAGCGGATTACTCAGAAGCGAGATGAATCAGAAAGCAGGATGTGATTTTTCGAAAGGAACAGGTTTGTGCTTAGCAACCGGCCCGGACTGGCACATTTCAGGCCCAGAGTACGGGAGGAACCCTTTTTCGCGCCGACCGTTGTAAAGTTAAACAAATCGAGTGCCCTACTCAGTTGCCGGGAGGAAACAAACCGATGATTCATCCGGAGAAACGAATTAATGAAGACGGCACCGGCCGCTCTTACCGCACACTCGTGTGTGCATCGCGTAACCTCATTATGAGCGCGCTAGCTTCGGCTAGTCACGCGATTGAGAGTGAGACGAGACGCGCCGGCCCACGTAAATTCCATCCGCGCAAAAATCCTTTGTCCGGCGTTGAGCTATCAAGGTCATCGGTCGGGGCTCTAATTGCTCGCTGGAAACGCTAGCTTTCGTTGAATCACGTGCATTTCCGATGCGGTGCGAGCAAATGTTTTAAATCCTTACAATGTTAGATGATTAAATCGGATGTCTTTCAAATCTATATCAGATTGGGAATTGCGAATCAGAGATTTGAATTCAAGCTGTTCGAATAAAGCGGCTAAGATTGAAATTACTTGATTGCATTCAAATCTTCAATTCGCAATTTAAATCTCTAGTGCATAGTCTTGTCCGTGTATCAACGGACTTTAGGGATGTAATGTTGCGCAGTATATTATATTATATGTGCGAAGTGGACTGTTGCAACGTGCAAGAGAAATGCGATCTTACTCTCGTGTTATCGAAATGTATCGTGCATATGTATGGTTTGTATTGCTGAAAATACAATGATGCAAAAGTATCCGTTTACAACCAAAGTATTCGAACCGAACTATTGTCGGAACTGAACATCAAAGTAAATTTCTTTATTTTTTATGACATGATAATATAGTAATTTCCGAAAAATATACTAATTTTCAGATTATTATTGTCATATATTCGGTTCTTCAAAGCAGCTACCTGTAATTCGCTTTGTATTTCTACCTTTTCAGTTTCCTTTGTTGCGTTCTATTGCAACTGCGTCCGCAACACGTGATACAGTTCTTGAAATCGAGGTCTCTGACCAGGATTATTTTCCTTTTCAAGATACCTGCGAGCGGACGTTTTAACCTGCTCACAATTAGGAGATGTTCGTAGGCCGGAAGTCGCCCACCGCATAATTCGGTAATAAGGCACTTCTAATCGCGGCCGGATCTTGCATTTTCGTGCGGCGTGTACGATCTCGTTAATTTCGCATGGCGAGACGCGTCGCGACACGAAACCGGCGGCGGTTTCGGGAGGAAACGCGCCAGGAAACGGAAAGGTGATTTTTCATGCAGGATGTGAGGTTGCACGGGGCGGCCGATATTTTTGCCCGATAACGCGCCAACAACGGTCGGCTTCGGCGCGGGTTACAAATGCTCCTCGATATATTTCACGGGCTGCAGCGGAGAGATTCGCCCAATCTCTTCCCAGAAGCCGAGAAATAAAGAGGACCGAAAGTGACGGTACGCGACGTCGCGCTTAAACGGAAACCGCAAAACTTACACATTTATCACACATCATAGTCAACCTGAAAATACGTACGATTTATTAAACGCGCGCGATATTATCTGACCGCAGCAACACAAAGACTGCGAACCCGGACATTCTCGTAAATCTGCGGAAGCGTGTTTCACGGATTACAATAGCTCCCTTGCGGAGCGCATTATGGCGACACCACGTGCCATTTATGTAAATTTATTTTTTAAGGTGTTGTCGTCCACGCCTCTGCTCGATTTTTACTCACTGTATCCTCACTTTTCGTACCGACCACTTAAACTTTTAAAGCTCAAACAATTAAACAATATTCACAGTTTCAACATTAACTTCTGGCATTGTCATCTATTCACACTCTTCATTCCACACATATTCATAAGAAAAAAACAAACAAACCATTTTAAGCTAAAGTAATTTTCCGGATGACAGCTGGAACAAACACTCTTAGAACTGCCATTTCACTAATTATATCGGAAAATCTCGAATAGATTCATGGTCAATAACGATAGTAGCGTATCGTAAGACGCACAAACATGCAGCCAGACAGTCGCCAGACAGACAGACACCAGACGAACGTTTTTTTTTTCACCTTTTTAAGACCAACCTTAATATTCTTATTGCCTGCTGCCGTCGTTGCCGTCCCCATCTCGGGAGCGCGTTTCGAGTTCACGCTTTTTATTTTCTACCGGGGTCCGCTGAGGCCCGGTTTCGAAATTGTACTTTTTATGTGTGCACATATCGACGAGGTGCGGTGCACGCGACGCCGGTATTCCTCGATATTTTTAAGATGCATCGATTAAGTCCGCTTGATTAGACTGCATGTATAATTCATGATAAAGTCTCACCTTAACGGTGTTCCTAAATCGGGATGAAAACGCTCGAAACGCAAACGTACGCAGTTAGTGATGGATATCGTCGATCATCTATTTGAATGTTGGAAAATTCAATAAGAACGATGGCAGCGCAAAACCATTGACTAGCAGAGATTTTCAACGCGCCTCCTTCCTTTGTCCCACGGTCGATTCTTGTGTATCTTTTTTTTTTTCTATACCCTAACTTGGATTCGAATCCTTGTAATGCACCTGCAAGTTGAAAACAGGTCGAAACAGGTCGAAACAGGTCCATCGAGCTCCAATCCCTTTCTCATTCTCATTTCTCTGTCCTCTTTCTAATTTTTATGCCGATTTTCAATTTAGATTTTCTAAAAAGATTCTATAAAAAAGCAAATAAGCTGCGCGATTATTGACGATATTTAGAGAAATGCGATAAATGCAGATTGTTATTTATTTCGATCTTCATTGCTATTACTTCACAAAATAAATTATTTTATGCAACCAAGATAAATTAACATATGAAAAATATAAGAAATACATTTTGACCACTCGAGCTCTCGTCAGTTTGATAGAAAGAAAAAAGGAAAAAGTTTAATTTACATAAAAGATATAACAAAAATATAAAAATGGTTCAAAAATTTTAAAAATTAAAAATTAATTCTACTCTGACGTGTTATACGAAACGGTGTCTGCGCATGCGGTCGGTGAATTTGTTATGCCGATTTCTTTTTATTTTGTTTATCTTTAGAAAAATGATTAACAAATAAAAAAACCACACGTTATATTATCGCTTGTGTTAAGATGAGATCTGCTACAGCACTAGAAAATATGTTGAGAGTCCTTCGTGAATCTCTTTGTAACGAAATAGAGACACACAGTGTAGAAAGTCTGTTCAAAAGTATAGAACTGCTTTGTTGTACGCATCACAATTAGTACGTCTTAAAATTTTAAATAAATTAGTGTAACGGTTTAAGTAGATTTTGCGTAAGAAAAA